AAGGCAGTCCTCTGCAGATGCTGAATCTATCAGCTACCAGTTTGACATTAACAAGCAATTACGTTGCAGTCTCTGAGTTAGCACCCCTCCGGGATCTCAGGGTGATTGCTTCAAGTGGAGAGAGAAATAAGAAAAAGAAAACTTGGTAAGTCCAGAACTCCGTTGATGAAGGTAAGGCTAGACAGTGCCAGAATGACCACTAGATTCAGAGTCAGGAAACTGAGAGTGACCACAGCTACTGCCTGGACCCTCAGCTCCTCTGAGCCTCCCTGCTTTGCTTCCAAAGGGGTGGTTCTCAATCCTGGCTGATGTGGGAAACTCCCAGGGAGCTTTGTAAACTGCCAGTTCCAAGGCGGAAGGTCTGAGACAGAGACACAGATGTCCACCAGTGTGAGCTTTGTTTTTCTTTTCTATACTTTTGTATTTTGGGACTTTAATTAACTTATGTGTTTGCATCTTATCCTTAACTGACAAATTGTAACTGTTTTTAAGGTGTCTCCTTGGCTCTGCTTTGAGTACAGCAAAGATGAAACCCCTGGGAATATCCAAAGAGAGGTGGCTGCAATCAGTGACCATCAACTCACCACTTCTGTTGCACGAAGCCTCTGGGTGCAAATTTCCTGGGGATCTTGTTGCCACGCAGGTTCTGTCCCAGTAGTTCTGACTTGATAGGTCTAAGATTCTGCGTTCTTAAAAAGCAATCAGGCGATGCAGCTGCAGGACCTGAAGAACATCTGGAGTAATAAGACTTGTGGCCACCAACCACAAGCAGCTATTGAACACCTGGAATGTGGCAGTGCAATGGAGGCTCTGAATTACTAATTTTACTTAATTTAAACTGATTTGAATTTAAATAGCCACCTGTGGTTAGTAAATACCCAAGTCCAGAGGTTTTAAAATGTGAAGCAAAAGACGCAGTTAAGAAAGTGCCTTAGTACTCTGTACCCATGGGCAGGTTTGTGTGTGCTTCCTTCCAGCCGTAAGACCCAATTCATGGCAAGATGTTCTCCTCCTGACTCAGATGCAGCCCAAAGGCTAAGTCAACCCGAGTGCAGCACGCTGAGCCAGGGTGCACCATGGAGGAAAGTGCTCGGAGATGCAGTTGAAGAGACCATCATTGTACTGAGCCTTTTGGTGCAGACAGAGGAGTCTGAGTTTTATCCTAAGGACAATGGCAAAGGTAAGGCCAAGCCATCACGGAGCATGAAAGGGAACCCTGGATACCACCCAGGACTTGCAGGGAAGGCAACCACAGGAGTACTATTTCAGCTGATACTTTCAGGAAGACAAGAGCACACCAGGAATCCAAAGGAGGAAGGAGGATTCCAGGAGAAGAGGACAGACGGCATGTGCAAGAGAAACGAGATAAAAATGGGCAAGGAGGAGCCCTAGGTGTGTGGCAGAGAAAAGGGAAAGAGGGACTCCAAGAGGCCTTGGAAAGCCCAGCCTCAGCAAAGGACAATCGAAGGCAAAAAACAACAGTTACCATGCCTCTTCTTATTTCAAAGATATCAAGCATTATTATCAAACAGATTTTAAAAACTGGCCCCCAAACAGAGTCAACGTACACAGTCATAGTTGTTCCCTGCTCAACTCCATGTCACCCTTCGCATAAATGCAATGAAAATGGCATCTCACAGAGGAGTTGGGGAGTGTGTCTGACTCTGCCCCATCTCAGAAGTATATAGGTAGACATGGCTTGAGCTGAAGTACACACCCAGTTTTCACTAATTCCTAAGTGCATGCTCCACCCACTACTTGACCATTCTTGACTATATTGAGAGAAATCCACTCGTTTATTAGAATATCTTACAACTCTCATGGAAATCACATAGGTACCTGTGATTAGAGCACATATCTTAGGCATCACAAAGCTTTGATGTGGCTGAAGTTCCATCAATTTTCAGGGACAACACTCGTTTTCTCATGCTCGTTAGAACCTGCTTGGCAGTCATCTCTGCCTCTCATTCATGAGGAATGGGCAAGCCAAATGCCTTGGATTTTGGTTTATTTGGAGGAAGAGTAACAAAATGTGGTGGGTGGTGCAGTTACTCCGCCTCCCCTGGAAGTCTAACCTTGTGGTTTCATAGCTAGTTTCACCCTCAGATGCCCCACAGCAATCCACCTGCTAATCTATGACACTTCTCAACATCATCCAGGTGTTCTGGGGTCATCCAATCCACTTTGGTAACTTTAGTACCACTCCTGGGCTAGTTATGGCCCACACTGCCTCTCCATGCTCAATATCTCTTCATAGAGTCTAACAGCTATACCCAGCAGCCTGCAAGACTTCAATGCCCAAATGTCCACAGCCCCCTCTACCTCTAAGTTTCCAAACCACATTCATCGTCTTCTTGATTTTCCTCTTATGCGTCCTTTTGATGTGAATAGAACCACCTCCCACATGGTTACCCAGGCCAAGAACCTGGGGTCTTTGATTTTTTTCTTCTTTCTCACCATCCCAACCTCCACCCCATCTTGGCATTCTTATTTTTTTAGGATGAGGTCCAGCTACATGTAACAAAAACCCTAAAAACAATGGCTTAAAAAGCTCGGTATTACATCTCTCATGAAAGGGGAGTTGAGATGAGAGAAGTCTGAGCTTGACGGGTGGCATGACAGTCATCTGGACTCCAAGTTCTTCATTCTGCTTCACTCTCTATTGTGGTACCCCACCCTGACTTCACCTCTCAGTCCAGGATGGCTGCTGGGGTACTACCATCACATCCACACTGTAGGCTGGAAGAAGGAAAGGATAACTGGATACCTTGGAAGAGGAATTCTAGTTAATCCAGTTAGGTCAAGCACTTGTTCCCAAGAGTCTCACCTGGAGCCCTTTCAAAGGTCCATTGATCATTAGTGCTATCAGAGACTAGTAAATATAATCTTCTAGCTGGAAAGCCTGCTACCCCATATAAAACTGAGGTGATGTTACTAAGGCAGAAAGGAAAAGAAATCTAAGAAGGCAATTAGCTGTTCTTCCATGTCAATTTTTGTATTCCTACATGCTTTTTTAGGTTCTTTTAATTGACACTATAATTGTGCAAATTTATGGGGTACTATGTGATGTTGTGAAACTTGCATCCACCTGCCTTAGAGTTAGCACCTCTGCCTGCTTCTCTACACTGCCTGTCATTGTCCTAGCTGAGGCCCAACCTTTTTTTTTATCCAGTTTTTATCCAGTTCCCATTGCTTTATCCAATTGGTCTGTCCTCTCCCCAGCCTCCCAAAAGCTCTTAATTCAGAGGAAACAATGATGTAAGGAGGACTAATGTTTCCACCTTCCTCTCAATTTAATAGTAAGAGAAAAGGGGCTAGGAAGGAAAATGAGCATTATGATAAATAATTGATGTTAATTCCGACAACACAGACAGACTGTGGTGATAAATGAAATGGCAGAACCAAGGAAGTTGTTCGACTCTGGTATCTTGATTTCCAGCAGGTTGACTTTATAATCATGCAACTGACATTCATCAGGAATTTCATCCACATTGAAGCCCCTGGGCTGCCAGTCTGGGTGTTAACTACCAGTGGGTTCCTGTCTGCTTCTCATTATCTGGAGACAGAAAAGGAATGTTAAGAGGGTTTTATGCCCCTCCTTTACTACAGTATCCTATGGAATCCCCTTTACCCCTCTGTACCCCATACCCACCTGAGTGCCTGCCTGTAGTATGCTCAAAAATTACTATGACATTATGCTGAATTACACACATAGTTTGATTCAGTGAGTTATCAATTTTCAGTTGTCAATATGGTCAAATGTGTATTCATGCAGGTCATGAAATCCAACTATCACTCTGTGAATCCAAACTACCATTATCCAAAGAGATTCAATAAAGCCAACATGTCCTCAAATAATTCCTGTTGCTCAAATCTAGGTACCTGAATGGTAAGTCTTTTAACCTTCTCTATTCTGATGTGCTGACTGGGAAAAATAATAGGGACTTCATTCCATTTTGTGATGAATAATCTATAGGATTGGACAGGCATGCTTTGTGAGTCTTTAAAAAAGGTCATTATACTGTCCCAATATTCACATGCTTTTTCCAGAGGATACTTAAAATGTTTTAGGACTCCATGAACTGAAACTGACCATAACTATGATGAGAGTAATATCTACTATTTACTGAAAAAGTTACACATCTTACCTGACTTAAGCTTCACAGTAAACTTGAGAAGCAGGTCATTACTCAGAAAAGGGGTAATCAAGGTTAGTAAGATTGGAAGTAGAAGGGTCTAGATTTAAACCCATATCTATCATGTTGAAAAGGCCAAAGAACTACAAATAAACATGAGAATTTGAGCAAGGTTGGAGGATAACATATAAATTCCCTTTCCAACTCATCTGCCAGTTCTGGAACCCAATTTTCCTTACAAGTAACTGTGTTCCATGGTGCAGAAGTAAAGATGGAGAAATTACCAACGAGGTGTGGTGGAAACAATGGACTCAGGAATCCTTCCACACCTGTGTGTCTGTGACTTCAATATTCTGACTCAAGCACATACTTGAGAGGTAGGAAGAGGAGGAGACGGCTGCCTTATACTGGAACAGAAAGCAGGCCACTGCTAGAACACTTAACCTGTGCCAGACATTTCACTAAGGACTTTATTACCTGTAATCTACCCAGCAAGCCTGTGAAGTATGTTTGCTATAATCATCCTCATTTTTAAAGTTAAGAAACAAGGCTTAGAGACATTAAAATTTCACCCAGTCTTCCAACACTGTTCTGTCTGATTCCAAAGTCTTTTATCTTTGACAATACCAACGAGGAACAGAAAAATAATGTTTTGAGTGGCAGACCCAGATGTAGTCTACCAAACCCACCATCATGCTTTCAAAATATGTCCACCAACTTTTTAATACTCCCCCCTTCAGATGAGGGAGCCTAATTTGCCTAGTTCTCCTGCCTTTGAGGAAAGCAGGAATTGTGACTCACTTCTAATGAAGAGAATATGGCACAATTGAAAGTGTGTGACTTGGGAAACTAGGTCATAAAGAACACTGTGGTTTCTTCCCTGCTTTCTCTTGCTGACGTCATGCTCTGTGGAGGAAGCCAGCCACCATGCTGTGAGGACACACGAGCGCCTTACCAGGGAGGTCCTCATGGTAAGAAACTGAGGCCCCCTACCAAAAGCCAGCAAGAAACCAAGGCTGTTTCCAACCGCCAAGTGAGGAATCCGTTTGGGAAAGCAAATCTTCCAGTCCCCACCCATGTTTCAGATGACCATTTCCCCCTACTGATATCTTGACTGAAACCTCTTGAAAAACCCTGAGCCGGAACCACCTAGTTACACCCACTCTGTAATTGCTGCTTCACAAAAAAAAAAAAATGTGGGATAACAAGAGTCAGTTATTTGTAAGCCACTAGGTTTGGGAGCAATAGAACACAATGATAGATAATGCCTACAGCCATTATGAAAGGAGTTGGGAGGAGTGGAAGCTACACTCCTACATCCTCATGCCCTGCTCCTTCCCCTCACTGTCCCAGGCTGGCCACCAATTGCAAAAGAAGGAGGAAGAGAGTTTCATTCATTGCAATCCATTCTGCCTGTTGTCAAGGGCAGAAACATTTCCTCTCGATCTTCAAGAATCAGAATGAGAAAGAAATACCTACCGTTCTAGAGGGCATGGCATAAATAGAGATGACTGACAAAAAGAACCTGTCAGCATGACTATGGTGGAGAGAACAGACTCAGGAATCACAGCCCCTGCAATAGAAGTCCCGATAGTCATGGACACGCTGGACACATTATTTAGCATTTCTAAATCCTGATGTTTTCCTCTTCAAAGTGGGGATAATAATTTCCAATTAACAAGACGATTGTAATGATTTTTAAAATATCATTCGTAGAAAGTTCCTTGCATATTTATTCATTCAACAAATATTTAATGATGTCCTGGGCACTTAGTTACTGGTGAGAATATGACACATAGAGTCATATCTTCATGAGGTTTTAGAGGTAAATAAACATAACCAAGTGATATTTTTTAAGTGTAATTAAAAGTGTAACACTTAGTAGGTACTCAATAAATATTTGTTTTCTCCTCCCTTTTCCCTCCTTTAGAATCTCACTTGGTGGCAATGGCAATTTATCTTCAAGTTACCCTGGAACCTCTTGTGACCACCAGAAGCATGGTCCCAATCACTCTCTATTTCCTGGCATATTCCACAAAAACTTGAGTTATTAACCATTTTTAATAATGCAGATAATAAACATCACAGTCACCCTGCAACTCATTAGTAAGATTTAACACTAGATTCATTATTCATAATGAATTTTAGGTGTGCACCATCTACTCAGAAATAATAGGCCCACTTCCCACCCTCATTCAAGTATGCAAACATCTTTTTTTCCTGAAGAGAGAGAATTTTTTAATATTTATTTTTTAGTTTTCATCAGACACGACATCTTTGTTTGATGTAGTGCTGAGGATTGAACCCAGGCCGCACGCATGCCAGGCAAGCACGCTACCTCTTGAGGCACATCCCCAACCCAGGTATGCGAACATTTTTATCTTAGACCTGCATCCTGGAAGGACAAGAAGAGAGGATAATAAGCTTCTTTTTCCAAATCTGTTCTAAAAGTGCGCCACCATAAACTGGGATCCATTTTCTAATTCATGAATCAAATGACAACAAAATCTGCAGACTATTCTGAAATCCAGTGGGGATCAGTGATCAGACATACTGGAGATCTTCCCAAATTTCTAAGCCTTTGCAGACAATGTCAGGGTCAGAGGACCTCTGTGAAGTCCAAGGGCATGGCTTTCTGCTACTGTTCACTGGTAGCACCTTGGTCTACAATAGAGGATCTGTACCCAGAAAGTCACAGTGTAAGTTACTGGTGAGATTATGGTGCATTAAAAATGTCAGCCCATCGCATACCCTCACAGAACTCACGGTGATCGCTAATGGGGTGGTCTTTGGTGAATCCAGATGCCTCTTCCTGAGCCTCAGTTTTCCCAGAGGGAGGGCAATAGATTGCTTTGCCCTACCACATTTTCCTAGATAAAAGTCAATGTGACAATTGCCCCTTTCTGACAATAATCATTAACACTATTAAGCACTCTTCCTTGTGTATTGCTAGGGACAATATTTGCATTATGTTTCAAATCTTCAAACAAACCCTGAGATTAGTGGCATGGTGGTGCTCATTCATTTTGTAGGTGCAAAGGGTTTGTTGAGTTGCCTCCCCAAAGCGAGAGGCAGGGCTGGAGTTCGGACTCATAAGTGTTCTGCTCTCCCTCCTGTGATCCTGGATCCCAGACACATCAAATGGCAAGATTTTCAGAAATACACAGGAAAAGGTGGATTCCATGTGTCACACATGGAAAAATAAAAAAGGTAACAGTGTTCCGCCAAAGGATTCCCAGAAATCATGGCTCTTCTGTTCTTGGCATTTGCGTCTTTTGGTGTGTTTTCCACATTGCTCCAACTCAAAAGGTGTGTTGTTTCAATTTGATTTTTTTCACCTCTCATCTCACCCTAGAGGAATCTCAGAGAATAGGTTCGACATCTGTGGACTCAATTCATTCTTGGAAAATGTTTTAGTAATACTTAAGATAAAGAGTGAAAACTAGAAGATAGCTTAGGAGAACTGTGAATAATTTGGGCCTTGGAATACCTAATCAGCTCCATTTTTAGCTCCAATATAACCAAAGGTCATGATTCCCATTACACCTTAGACATTTTTATTTTGCACAAGAGTTCTTGAATGCCTGCTAGGAGCCAAGCAAATGTCTGGGCTTCTATGCATACATATTCCATTACCCGCCCTCCCGTAGCCAGTGAGACAGATACAATGAGCCCGTCTTGCAGATAAGGAATCTAAGGCTTAGAGAATGGAAAGGAATATCTCAAGGTCACATTGCAAGTAAAAGGCAGAGAACACAGGGGTGCTGGATCCCCTCTTACACCAGGCCTTCACGAGGATGCTAATCTCTCATCACTTATTTGGAAAGTCCTACTCCTCCAGTCATGAAAAGGTAGCTCTATCCAATCAACTCAGATGCAGGCAGAACACATGGAATGATGAAACCCCAGCAGACAGCGAGCAGGGTACTTCAGACACAGCTGTCGTCTGCTCCGGTGGGGGCAGGAATGTTCCTGGCAACGTGACCCCGAAAATAACAATGAGAGGCCGAAACTGAGAAAGAAGAATCTTCCAAGGATCGTGAAACTGGATATTTTCTCAAGCCCCACCTCTGGTCAAAAATATATCACACAGAAGTAAAGAAACCAACCTCCTTCAGGAAGCACCAGAATAAATTCATGCTGGAAACTCTCCGGACATTAAGGAGCACGTCAAAACTGTTGAAAGATGAACACAAATCAAACAAAGAAATCAGAGAAAAATAAATTTTAAGAAATCAGGGGGCAATGGTGACATAGCGTCTGGCAAAAGGAACTCTTAAGAACTGTGCTTTATTTAGAACTTATCTTCCGTTTCCTCAGGAGGTGGATATGCAGCTCAGCTCCCTTGATTCAAGTGCAGCCGCTATGCAGTAGGTGCTAAGGATCCCCAATTTTCAGACAAAGGAACAGCACATTGAACTCCTCCTTTGTCCCTCTGGATTCTCTCTCCATCCTCCTTCACCCAGTCCACACCCAAGGACGCTGGCATTCAGGGGCTACCTCTCTGAGCTCCTTGGCCTCTGGCTCCTAGTTCAGTTTAGTCAACAGAGCCACTGGGAGGAGGGTTGGATGGCGGGAGGATATCTGGATTTTTATTGCTCCAGCTTCTTTCCTCTAGAGCTGGGGTTGGCTGAAATTTCCTATTGGAGGCTGTAGCTCCCCCGGGCAGCTCTTACCCAGCATCTCTTCAAACTCTGGGAAATGCTTCTTCCCCTGGTCTTTAGCCCTAGATTTCTATGGATTGAGTTAAATAATGTGACCAGTAAAAGGCCATTCTGATGAAGACCCAGAAGGAGCTAAGGATCAAGGTACTGGGAACTGAAGCAAAGGCCAACCTTGTTACTCAATGCAAAGGTCTTGGCAGAATTGCACCATGTCCTAGGACTTCATGAAATGCAGAACTTAAGAGCAATGAACTAGAATATCAGATGGAAGAAATTCCAAGAAGCAAAGCATTCAGGCTGTTGGGTAGCTGTCTTTAATTGCTTACAATCAAATGAAAGAGCAAAGAAATGACTTAAAGACCAAATTTATAATTAAAAGGGAAGCTTAATTTTCAATGCATTGGTGTTAGGAGACAGGGCCTGGTGGGAGGGGTTTGGTGATCACAGGGGTGAACCCTCATGAGTGGGTTGGTCTCATTATAACTTCAAGGGCAGGTTTTGAAAAACCAGCTCAGCCCTCATACTTCGTCTCTTCCATACATACTTGCCCTTCTGATTTTCCACTATGAGGTAACATAACGCAAGAGCCCTCCCCACATTCTTTCATCATACCCTTGGATCTCCCAGGCCCACAAATCAAGAGCCAAATAATTTTATAATCATCCAAACTGTGGTATTTTGCTATAGCAAAAGAAGCAGACTAAGACTTGGGCTCAGAGTGCTGATGGCTCACTGATATCACCAGACTTGGGATGCTTCCCTTGGACTGCCCACATCTTTTTAAATAGTCTCTTCATTGAATTTTCCTCAGTTACCTCTTTTGAGAATGTACACCGCTTATTCCTGCAGACCCCCACCCCTGTTCAGGGACCTTGATTGATGTGAAGTTGAAATGCAGAAGAGTTACGCAGCTTGTGCCGTCATATAAGTGGAGCCCGAGTTAAAGCAATGCTAGCTGCTATGACAAAGAAACCTCTAACTCTCAGTGACTTCAAATGAAGGTGTGTTAATTTCTCACTCATCTGAATTCCAACTGGGAATTCTTGTGTGATGGGGGGATCCCTCCAAATGGCAATCTAGAGAACCAGACTCCTCCCATTTCCAGATCCTGCCACACTCCCCATGTGATTTCCAACCTCCCCACACTACTGGCACCAGCTGGAAGAGGGAAAGCGAGTGGAGGGTTGAACATTACTTGCTGGGCCTACTGCTCATATTCCACTGGCCAAAGCTCAATTGCATGGCTCCCCAGTTGCAAAGAGGCCAGAAGAGGTGTGACCAGGAGGATAAAGGAAAGTTTGGAGAAAAACTTGCTAGTCTCTGCCTCAGGAGTGGGGATGAAAGACAAGCTCAAATCCAGAGTTTCCTGATTCAAAGCCCAAGACCTCCGGTTCACTGGTGTACTCTTAATGTGTGCACTAAACAACAAGATTCAACAACGGGAGTTCAGGGGAGAAGAGAAAAGCCAAGAAAAACTCGAATAACAGTTTAAGACTCTGTCCGCCAAGGGAGCAGCTACTTAGGAAAGAACAGAAGATGGGGAACATGAGCTGCAGCCTTGGTCCATCTCAGTGACCACTTATCCTTGCTCAATACCACTGCATGACATGTGGTTCTGGTATTTAAGGACACACATTTATTTATGTATCAGCCTCTACTTATTAGCAATTCATATAAATAGCTATATACATTTAATTGTAAATATCAATGAAATAAGACATGGAAAAAATTTTAGAAATCCCCTTGGGAACTTTTATTATTTTTCCCTATGGACTGAATTTAGAACCTACCCCCATATGCTCAGTATCTCCACTCTAACCAGAGAGTAGATCTCTCCCCCCATTTGCACGTCTGTGGGTTTCTGTCTACTACATGTGAGTTTTATAGGGTTAGCACACACTCTCTGAGAACACAGACAAGGTGGCATTTTTTGCATCGCTATGTAAATCTGCAGATTCATCACTCAATAAGTATTGACTGTTGACTTTGCCTTTTTCCCCCTTGTAAGCATTTCCAAGGATCCAATAATAGGAAGAAAGAACAAGGCTCATAGAAATAACTGAGGACCCAGGGAACCCATGTAAAACTCGGCAAACTCAAATGTTATTGTGAGGTTTAAAAACAGCACTGGTTAAATTCTACATCAGTAAATGGAAGTAGTGAGTTCTCAGCTTGCTGATCTTCTCTCCAGCACTCTTTCTGGTTGGTTCATTGCCTAAAGGACAGAATATGAAGGGAAAAGAATTTCAGGCACTATAGTATTACCGTATTAGTGTTCTATTCTGCAATCATCCACTGTGTGTGAGACAATGTGGCCATAGAAAGGAAAAAGCCCCTGTTCTGCCCTCAAGTATCTAACTTAACTTGGAGCAGGTAAATGGCACATATATTATCAAATGGAAAAATTTTTTAAAAGATTACTTATGGCACTAAGTGGTGAGA